GATTTCCTGACTGATTGAAACACTTTCCACACTGAGAACATTTGTACGGTTTCTCCCCGGTATGAATTTTCTGATGCTGCTTCCAGTATTTTGCTTTATTGAAGCATTTCCCGCACTGAGAACATTCATACCATCCCTCTTCAGTTTTACAAGCTGGAAATTTGCTGAGTGAGTTCACATTGCTGTAGGTTTTTGCATATTCAGAAGAGTTATGTGTTTCTCCAAGATGGTTACTTGGATATGTATTCAAATCATTAACTATTCCATTCCCAGAGATTTCAAACCTTTTCTCAATGACAATGTTTTTCTCCTCTTGATTCACATTTGAAGTATGCTGGTAGCTGTCCTCAAGCCTCTGAGGACATCGATCCAACTTCTCTGTAGAAGGTATTGTATTCCGCTCCACTCTGTAGTGGTAACTTCCGTCATACTGGGAGAACACGGGCATTTTATCCTCCTTGGACATAGTGGCCTTTTCAGGAATAGCAGCAGCAGTAAATTCCTGTTGAAGCAAAGCCTGTTGGTTCTCACACCCCGTGGAGGTCTTCTGCTGCTGCTCTCTTAACTTGTAGCCTTCTTCTTCCATTTCCACTTTTATCGGCAGATTCCCAGAGCTAAGCTGTAGATCTGTCCTGCGTGTTAACCCTGGTTCATTTCCTCTCTGCTCAGGATTCTCCACTTTGATCTCAGTTTCCATTCCGCTCTCTACAGAGGAAGAGAAAGGAACGTTAACCACAGCCAGATCACTGAATTCCAAGGTGTTTCTAATCTCCTTTTGAATGGCTCTTCCTTCCAATGCATTGCTGTCTCTTTTCAATCCACATGTCTTGTTGTCTCAATGATCATATTAAGTTCTCCTTCACCAGAAATGTTGATTTTTATATTACAGAACTCCAAACATACTCTTGGCCACTTAGTAGATACACCACCTAATAAAAACATTACTCATAAGAAGGATTAGAAACTTTTGGGGAGGTTTTCTGAGAACAAGATAAGCCCTTCTCACAAACTTGTGTAATCTGGATTTTCCTTCACTATACAGCATCATTCTTCTCTCTCCTATAGGATCACGCCCACCTCCTGCTTTCCTCTATAGATGTTAAGCTATAGACCACCAACCATACCACCAGCCACACTGTAGATTTATTTCATAATAGCCATATCAATTGCTGATAAGGATTGCAAATATTTAAAAATATCTTGTGAGAACGTTTTGCATGGTTACTCTTCCAAATGTCTTCCTAGCACCTTCATTCATAATGACTAGGAATACACGAGAACCTATCTACTCTTGGCTTCCTTTGAGATAAGCTTATGGAACATTTGAATACTTTCTCACGGTCCACTTCTTATTTGTCTCCCAAAGGAAAACCGAATCTTTTGCTAGGTTAGTTAGACTAATGCGCTCCTTACCTAGACAATCTATGTTTTCATGTTCTTCCTGCAGGACTTGCCAGGCCACAGTCTGTTGACCTGGCTGTGTCAGCTTCCACTTGGTTGCCTGCAAACACGCATCTGTTTCCTTGAGATCCATGAATTCCTATAAGGAATAAAAGGCAGCCAATGGCTTCCCATCAGAGATTGTGCCGCAGAAAAACAGGATTAAGGTAAAGCTTCACACTCACTACAAAACCTAGAACAATTATTACAGACGTCAGCCCACTGACCAAGGTTTATTGCAACAGGGATTCTTTATCCCATTACTATTTGTTGGGGGGGGGGTAAACAGTGTCCCATACTGTATTTTAGAGCACAACCCAAGGTGATTCCTGCAAAGTTAGGTTGGCTGCAGTTCTATGTATTCTGGCAACAGGAGGTCTTTGACTATTTAATGGTCTGTGGGAATGATCTTGAGAGACAGGAGGAAGAGCCGCAGACTAGACAATACTGGAATCAGATAAGCAGCAGCTGACCCTGAAGAAGGAATGGGGGTGTGGTAAACGTCTCAGAAGGGACCCTCCCTAGTTGCTTGGCCTGTAAAGGTGAAGAGGGAGACGTACTTTCAGACTTAGAAGATTCTGTTAATGTAACCTCACAATAATATTAGAGCTAGTATTTCCAGTTGTGCTTTTTGTCTGGACTACCTCACAAGGCTGACATCAATCTTGCAAGTCTCTCCCCAGCTATCAACACTAACAAATATAAAGCTGGAGTTCTAATTAAAAATAAAACAAATCAATCATTGTTTAATTTAAAGCAGTGTTTTTCAACCTTGGCAATTTTAAGAGGTGTGGACTTCCATGCTGGCTGGGGAATTCCGGGAGTTGCAGTCCACACTTCTTAAAGTTGGCAAGTTTGAAAAACACTGATCCAAAGGGAGCAGGAGGATGGGCAGCCAAGAATATGTCTTTATGCTGATGCTACATACCCCCACTCTGGTACAGAGCAAACTGTTTCACAAGGTTGACACACGCACCTCTCTCAGAGCAGTTTGGACCACCCCAAATCTTTCAGAAGGAAACAATTGGCTGGGGTGGCTTGAGGATTTGATTCCATGCCCTGCAGGTAAGAACCAAGACATTACAATAAGAACATGTTTACTCCTTCCCTCTTTGGTGATTCAACATATAACAGCACAAAAGATTTGTCATTTTTAAAGTAATGAACAAGACAGAATCTTTGCAGAATTTTTATAGCAGTGGGAAAACCCCTATCTTGAAACCTGTGTGTGTCACAACTTTTACAATTTCTGGTACCTAACCTTGAAAGATCAAGGTTTCTAAACCAGGCAACTTCCAGATGTATGACTTCTGGACTTCAAATCCCAGAATTCCCCAGTTTGCTCAGCCATTCATGAAAATTCTGGGAGTCGAAGTCCACATATCTGAGAGCTGTCAAGGGTGGGAAAAACTGCTTTAGATCCTGTCCACCATAAAGCTTTCCCCCCCCCTCTGTTTTCTGCTTATTCACATCCAGGAATGTGAATATGGAGGTCCTGTGAATTTATGGAGAAACTGTGAGGTTCGGCAGAGGAGTGCTGTGATAGGGCATCTTAGCTCTCACCAACATTATTGTAATAATCTTACAAAGAATAATATTCAAATCAGAGGAAGTTGTGCAAAATGGTTATGATCCAATTATACTGTAGATAGCTGAACTTCATTTTCCAAAACTCCTTCTTCCAGAAAACCGGAGCTTGGATGTTTAAGAGAGGCTGCATATGAAGCAACCAACAATTTAATCCGATACAAAACTAAAAAATATGAGGACGATTAATACTGGTAACCTATGATCTGTGGAAAAAGGAACTGCAGGATCTAATTTTGGAAAATCAATGGGCCCAAGTGGCAAGAAATGTCAAAAACATTTAATCATGTTCTATTGAACTCCCCAAACAATGTTTTAGAAAGAGGGATATCAGATTTTTTGTGTGTTGGCACTGTAAAAAGTTCAAAAATTCTGACTCATATGATTTGGTCCTGTTCTGTAATCGTTCTCTTTTGGTTTCAACTCCTCACATATGTTAATGCAGCCTTGGGGAAAAATATAGTTTAAAAATATAGTCACAAAAATATGGAATTTGACACCTGATGAAGAACTCTGGCTCATTGGAGCTGGGGGATTGGCAAACATTATTATTAGATTTTTTACACATAGTCCTCGGATTATGACAGCAGTTGGGACTGGGATTGCCGTTGCTAAGCGATGCAGTTGTAAAGTGCGTTCATGTGACTGAATTGCTTAGTAACGACAATCCTGGCAATCCCAGCTTCACATCATGTGACTGCGACTTGCGACTTCCTGCCGGCTTCCCCATTGATTTTGTTCGTGGGAAGTCAGCAGTGAAGGTCGCAAATGGTGATCACATGATCATGCGACACTGCAACCGTGGTAAGTGCGAGCCAGTTGCCAAGCATCCAAATCGTGATGACAGTACCGCAGGGACGCTTCGACAGCGTTAAGTTCAAGGACCGGTCATAAATCTCCTTTTTCAGCACCACTGTAATTTTAAATAGTCACTAAAGGAGCCGTCGGTAAGGAAGGACTACCTGCATGTGAAAGAACAGCTACTTGTATATTAATGTTATCTTAACACTATGTAGCTCTTCTCTTTGTTAAACTTTTAGTTCATTTTCATCACTATTATTTATAAATTCTGATTGTATTGTCACTGCCTTTATTTTTGCTTTTTTAAAATCTCACTATAATCTAGAACAGAAATACATTAAAAATCTTCCAGAAAACCGATCAAGGAACAAAATGTAGCCTTAGTTTTTGGCTCACTGGCCTCAGCATCCCATATATAAAAGAGAAGTCCTGCATTTTTCTCCTTCTAGAGCGTTCTTACCCAGCATGCTGATTTCTACTTCAATATTTTCTCTCTTCACAGCCTCCAAGGTCTCTTTCTCTGAATATAAGAAATCGACATGTTCTTCATTCATTGGGCCCTGGAAGAGTAACACACTCCTTCTCACAACGATGGGACTGCTTTGCCCCCGCTAAAGAAACTCTCAGTGGTTCCCCAATCCCCGTGAAGATGGTTGAAGGCCAGGTCCTAATCCTCTCACAGTTCTGGATCAGTATTCTTAGCATCCCTCTATTAAACAATTTTTAAAATTGTTTGACCCAATGACTCCATTCCCTGGTCTCGGATAATGTTAACCCCACAAAAAAACAAGCCATTACAAATGGCTCCACTATCCCCAGGATGATGATGATGATGATATTATTCCCACCTTTTTTAACATTTGGTCAACTCAAGGCGGTGAACATATCTAAGACTCCTGCCTCCTATTTTCCCCACAACAATCCTGTGAGGTGGGCTGGGCTGAGGGAGTGACTGGCCCAATGCCCAAATTACCCCTTTGGGGATAGTTACCCCCGTTTAAGATCCACTGCTCTATTCTCATGGCAAGGAAAGCTACAGAGGTGAATGTTCTCCCCAGAATGAGGTTCTCAAAGATGACATTTCTCTGCAGGGCAAGACGAAAAGAACAAAAGCCGATCAAACCAGATAACCTTGAATTAGGGGATTTTACCAAGGCCATTTAAGTTGGTCCAGGTGGTTTTAACCTTTGGCATTCATGTTAGAAACGCAAACTAATTCCAGTCATTTTGTAGGTAGTAGCACCCAACTGGCCTTGTCTGGACGTCCTATAGAGGTTGAACCTGAAGGGCTGGAAACTGATTAAAAATCCCAGGGTTATAGATTAGACCAGTGTTTCTCAACCTCATCGACTTTAAGATGTGCGGACTTCAACTCCCAGAATTCCTCAAAGTTGGTGAGGTTGAGAAACACTGGGTTACACTGTGAAAGAGGGGGGAAAAGTCCCATAAAGACATTGGCAAATCACACTTGCCCTGTTGCTAAGCACCTTGACTGATGTGTCCATGGAGTCACCACAGTCAACATCAACTCAAGATCTTTAATCAAAGCACCTTGACTGATGTGTCCATGGAGTTACCAGAGTCAACATCAACTCAAGATCTTTAATCAAAGCACCTTGACTGATGTGTCCATGGAGTCACCAGAGTCAACATCCACTCAAGATCTTTAATCAGTTTTCGACAGAATTATCTGAGAAGCCACCTCTCCCTGTGACATCTACCATCCCATCAGGTCTGGCAGGAGGAGCATGTTATGGGTCCCATCTAAAAAAGAGTGTCACCTGGTGGGACCCAGGAAGAGAGCCTTTTTTGCCATGCTGCTTACCCTTTGGAACATCATTCCCCCAGACCTCAGATTGGCCCCGACCCTCCTGGTCTTCAGGAAGGACCTCAAGACTTGGCTTCGCCATCATGCCTGGGGTCTGGTTATAGTGGAGAGCTTCCATGATGGTTGTGTTGAATGTGATGTTGTCATGGATTCTGCTGCTGATTATGGTTATTTGTTTTAATGTGGTTTTATTGATGGTTTTTTATATGTTTCCTTTCTTTTAACTTGTTTTTATTTGGTTGCTATAATTATTGTGGGCCACCCAGAGTCACCTAGGTGAAATGATATTGAATCAAATCAAATCAATAAACTGAACAGGTTCCCAGCCCCCAAAACCACCTTCTATAAACTCTGGGACTTATATTGTCCAACATACCTGGTACGTCCCTGATTTGGCCTCTTGCTGGTTTCTCAGGAAGTCTTCCACCAGAACCACTGCCTGGGAACATGTCTCAGGTCTTCTAGCTTGAACCCAACTCTGAAGCTTTGGAGGTAAGCTGGCCAGGAATTGCTCCAGGATCAAGAGTTCCAGGATCTGCTCTTTGGAGCGTCTCTGCGGCTTCAGCCATTGGCGGCAAAGCTCCTGAAGTTGGCTTTGAACCCTTCGCGGGTCTTCCACCTCCTGGCAGCAGAACTGCCGGAAACGTTGACGCTGTGCCTCCATTTTCACAGCTTCCCCTTTCAAGATGGCGGCCTTCACCTTCCCATAGTTGTCCCGGTCTCTGATTTCCAGCTTTTGGAAGGCCTCTTCAGCTTCCCCGCTCAGGGACGGCAGGAGACAGGCCACCCACTGCTCTCTGGGCCACCGACAGGCTTGGGCCACCTGCTCGAAGGAGGCCAGGAAGGCCTTGGGGTCTTCCCAGGGAGAAGCCTCCAACATCTTCAGCTTTCCCTCTCCTGGGTGAACGGGTTGCAGCGTCTTGAGGAACTGCTGCCACTGCGTTTCCCAGCGCTCTTCCATCCCAACAAATGGGTCCCTCTTGCTCCTCTCAAATGCTCCCCATCCTGCTGGCTCTGACATATACTGAAGCTGGATTGCACAGGGGAGTTTTCCAGCTGCTTCTCGTCCTTCTTCCGATTCTGGATTTAAGACTTTTTTCTCCATTGCTGAGTTATCTTCTGCCTGCCCTCTGAAATCTAGAGGCAGAGCATATTCAGAGTTGTTCACTTTGGTCCGGACATTTTAACCCTACAGCCACGCTTTAGAGACCCCACTAACCTTAGAAAAAAGTATTTTAAAAAAGCAGGCCCTCTCTGTTGTACAAAGCACTCTTTCCACCCCAAACAACTCTTTCGGCTCTCCTTGATGAAAAGGATCAAAGCAGACGTCACCAAGAAGCTAACATCGCACACGTGCGTCCCTGTGGATGGAACAGCCATTGAAATAACCTAAATAATTCTTGGGGCGGAAAGGGGATTCTAACAGAAAACGCTGTAAGATACACATTCAATCAGGAGTGATTTTCCAGCTTTTTTATTCATCTATGGATTTATTCATTCTCTGGAACAACATTCCCCCAGAGATATGTCCAGTGCTCCTCTCTCGGTGTTCCAGAAAGGTCTGAAAAGCTGCCTTCGGTCCCCAGCCTGGGGTTGATGTTTATTATTTGTTTAATAGCCCCCGTTTTGTTTTTTGATTTTGCTACCTATTAGATTACTTTAGTCTGGGCTATCTGTTTGATTTACTGTTTTTAGCTGTTTTTATGTTTTCTCCAGTTTTGTACACCACCCAGAGTCCACTGGAGTTGGGTGGCTAACAGATTTCAATCAATCAATCAATCAATCAATCAATCAATCAAATCGGCCGGGCTCACAGGCCACGCCAATCAACTGACCCTGAGCCGAGTCCAATTCCCCAAACCTGTTATTTGGGATTAAAAACACCGAAATCAAGCATCCCAATTTGAAAAACTAAAACTGTCACCCGGAACTATGTAAACCGGGGGATCCAAATTAAATCCAATAAAACTAAAATCCACCCTCCAGAGGAAGGGCTGCAGCAGCCCTGCCCCCCCCCCCCCCCCCCCATTTCCCATCTGAAAAAAGGGGATTTTTCTCCCATCAAGCACTTCAAAAGACAAATTCCTTCCCCGCTTCTAGGGTTTTTCACCGCCCCACTGCAGGGCGGTAGCGGCTGAAGTCGTGGTT